AAATTTAATCACACGTTTATAAGTTTGTCCAGGGGAATGTTATTGTCTACAATGCGTGGGTAGTCCCAAAAATTATTTCTTTTAAGTCCAAACACTCTCCTTACTTCCAGCTATATACTGTATGCTCTGCATGTTCCTCAACACCAGACAATGGGGATTTCATCTTTAACCGCCGGCAAAATCTGTCAAAATCTAACGGCGCAAAAGATCGACAGATTCCAAATTTTCCGTTAACATTTACATACTTGGCCACTGTTTAATGTACACTATAATAATCTTTGCATCCAATTTTACTTTTCAGGAAATAGGTTATGATTGTCTGGCAGATATCTGGTCGCTAGGAATCACTGCAATAGAAATGGCTGAAGGAAAGCCACCTTATGCTGACATACACCCCATGAGGGTCAGTATAAACTTGGCTACTCAAGCTCAAACTATGAATTCTTCTAGTAATTTATAATCGTTCTTTTGCTTTAAGTTCTGAGAATTTAGTGATAAATCAAGGCAATATTCACCAGCGTTTATTTATAGTGAGCTAGGCATCAATTTCTGCGCCATTTAATTCTGTCATTTTGACCAACATTTCTGAACTGTGATGTCCTCTTGTATAATAAAAATGTTGGTGCAAGTTTTGTAAATTAAAAAGGAAACTTTAACATCTGTCTCTGTTTGCAAAGGTCAATCTTTAAATACTTTAGTTTCAAAATTTTCCGTGATGTCACACTTAATATCAGTTTGTACCTCCATGTCAGTCTGTCTGTGCTCTCATTTGCTGTGGTAAAAAAAAAAATCATTTTTTGTTGGATTCACATTGATTTCTTTCAGCAGGATATATTCTCTTTTTCTTAAGGATGTTATTAATATCATAAGCTTATATTTTGAATAACTTTACCCTCATATTGGCATAGATTTTAAAAGATGTTGTTAAAAATGCCAGCATTGATTTCCTGCAGTAAGCTTTTATCTGCTACTTCTGTTACAGGCGATATTTATGATTCCAACAAAACCGCCTCCCACCTTTAAAGATGCTGACAGATGGAGTAAAGAATTCTTAGACTTTGTAAGCAAATGTCTTGTAAAAAATCCAGAGGATAGAGCGACTGCCACGCAGTTATTACAGGTAAGTTTACTCAGGAAAAAACTTACTGTAGTCATTTGAACAAAGTCGAAAAGAATTGCAACCTATAGGACATTTCCAAGTTGTCTTTTGCCTTTGTGTGAAGACAAGTCTTCATGTGGAATCATTCATATGAAAATGAGTTCTGCTTACAGGTTTATTTTCATGCAAATTAAACTCATTTTCATATGAAAGGTTTTGCACATAGACTCGTTTTGAAACAGAGGCACAAGGTAACTCAGAAATAGCCTGTTACTTAGTATATCCAAATTCACGAATGAATAACTAGGTGGGAGCAGATATTTATGGTATTTCGTATTGTGCTGAGTTGTATTACAAGATTGGAACCAAAACATTTAAAAGTACATACCAACTTGAAAAAAAAATAAATAAATAAACAAAGATGGTACATGTAGGCAGTCAAAGGTAATGAACAAACTTTCTTGAAAGCACTTTGTAGCATGGTGAGTACAATGATTAAAAGTGTTACTATCTGAATGACTTTTTTTCTGTTACAGCATTCGTTTATCCAGGAAGCAAAGTCTGTCAGTATACTCAATAACATGATCCAAGAAGCGCTGAATATTATGGAAGAAGAAAGTGCGCGAGAGGAAAACGAGGTACGATACAATCTAATCTCCCGTGTTATAAGCCCTCTGGCCCCTGCCCTCCCCCACCCCATCTCCCCCTATCCTGTCCCTGTGGTTAACCCCTCAAAGCCCCCTCTGAAGTTGGTAAGTTCAGAGACTAGCCAGGAAGACAAGGTACGATGTGATCTAATCCCCCGTGTTTTAAGCCCCCTGTTCCATGTTCCCCCCACCCCCATTCTATCCTTGTAGTTAACCTCTCATAGCCCCATCTTAAGTTATTAAGTTCCGACACCAGTTAGCCCGGTTATAGTGAACACTGATGTTAGCTGCTTTTAATGCGCTGTTACTGAGGTATTTTATCGTCTGGGGCTTACAGTTGAGCTTAGCATAAACACTTCTATACATAGGCTTGATGTTACACTATGCGTGACAAAGATTCACTTTCTTTTAACTTTCCTTGTAGCAAAAGGTGGTGCTAAGGTGCACTGATACAGCTGTGTCGAAAAAGTTTTTCACACAAGCGTAAAAGCGAACGCGACAATGCCGATTGGTACTATGGGTAGCAATAGTTCGGCGTTGCTTGATTGAGGTTCACGGTGTTTCAGCAAGAAGGAAGAACAACGCGTGAATACACGTGTTTGTGCTGATTCCTTCTGTCACGCTGAAACACTTTAAGCTTCAATCAAGCAACGTGAACCACTGTTTTCCCTAATACCCCTCGACAATGTCGTGTGAGCTTTTACCCCTGGTTTTGGGCAACCATAAATACCATTTGGAATTAAATAGGAGAAGTCTCTTATTTTTCTCAGATTAAGTCGAGTAGGGAGGACGTGCGTTGGACGAGGATACGTTTTGCATGACTTGAACGTCCTTTCGTGCTCGTGTGCTTGCGTGTTCAGGTGTTTGTGTGCTCGTGTGCTCGTGTTCTCGTGTGCTCGCGTGCTCGTGTGCTAGCGCGCTCTCGTGAGAAACTGAGAAAACCCTGAGAAAAATAAGGGAGTACGCGTAAACTACTGGTTGATCAAAGAAGAGAGTGTTCGCGGTATGTCAAACACTTTTCTTCCTCGCCACAGGAGGAAGCGGAGGAAGTCGATGATCATATCGACTCGGGGACAATTGTGAAGGTTGGCGATGGTAATGATAACACGATGATAGTAAACACAGCGTCCAGTGTGCAGAGTCAAGATACGATGATCGTGAACAGTGAGGCAGGTACACTGTTGGAATCTGATCTGGGAACAATGGTGATTAATTCTGATGAAGACGAGGACGCCACGATGAAAAGTAAGCTTTGAAGGAATATTTGGAAACCGGTCGTTTTAGCTGACCCCAAGTCGATTAGCCCCTAACCGTGCAGCCCCCAACCAGAAGTCGAAAACACTGTCTATTTCTCGTTCTTTAAGCGTGAATGGGGGCTAATCGACTTCTGGTTGGGGGCTAACTGCTAATTGACTTGGAGGCTAAACGACTGGTAACCGAATGTTTGGCTTCGCAAACGAAGATTTCAATAATGAGTTATTACTTTGGAAAGAAGAACCTGCGGCTCGTGTCTACATATACTTTCGAATTTCCGTTCATTTTCCTGTGTTTATATCGGTCTATGTAACCAGTAAAGCCTTCAGCAGTCCACAGCTTGGGAAAAATATTAGGGTATTTAAAAAACCACGACGGCGACGCCGAAGACAACAGCGAGGAAAAAGTGAATGTATACTTTACATACGAATCTCTCCATACTCTAAAGTCATTAAACTTTTTTTCGTCGTGAAAACTACATGTTTCTCGAAACTGAATACGAACACAAAGTTAAATTCGAAACAAATTTAAAAAATTCGCCGTCGTGGTTCACATTCTACAGACAACGCAGAATTTGGTCATTTCACGTTGTTGTTTTGCAGTTGACAGCAAAGAAATGTACTCAAGAATTATAACGCACGTGCACAGCCATTGTTCTGGCCCCGGTTGTTCGAAGGCTGGATAATGCTATCCACCGGATAAATCGCTATCCAGTGAATCAGTGTTGAGGAAACAAACCACGCTATCCACTGGATAGTGATTTATCCGGTGGACAGCTTTCGAACAACCCAGGTCTGTTCATTAAACCTTTTCTTTAACGATGTTCTCCTTTCTGTTTTGATTTTCCCTAAGCTTCCTAGGAGATCGTTCTTACGGGCCTCGGGCCGCGGGCCGCGGGACACGGGTTGAACTGTTTTGTAACCTCCACATTCAGGAGCCCTGGCCCTCTCTCCCACGCACAGCTGCAGTGACAGTCCCAGTAACGTAGCTTTCTTTTATTTCAAAGGATTGGACAGCGATGCTAAACAGAACTATCGTCCTTCATTTATGGATCACTTTGACAGAATATTTGAAGCAGGAGGACGGGGAAGCGACTCCGGTGCCAACGGTTCGTCTGGGGAGGACTCCGGGGGACTACTGAGGGGGGCAAAACCTGAAGATCCGTTTAAACTCAAGAAGGCAGGCCCCCCTGACTTTGAATTTGTAAGTAACAAATGATTGATGTTCCAAAGATACGAGACAAGGGGGGGGGGATCATTGTCATTGTCTACAGTCAAGGCGGGGGTACACGCGGGAATGTAAAGGGGAATGTGGTGTTCAATTCCCTCTCCTACTCAAACGATCCCAGAAAACCAAGCGCTCAAAAGTGGTGCCCAGTCTCTAAGGGATTTTACAATTTACGTTGTACATGCAGTGTGAGAAGTAAATTCTCAAGGCATTTGTGAAAACCGTGAAGTGTTATGACCTTGACTTCAATGTTGATCAAAAAGGCATCAGTTATTCTTTTTTTACTTGGCAGTTACGGTCACTGCCATGCGAGGAATTACAAAGCCGAATGCAGACACTGGACATGGAAATGGAGAAAGAAATTGAAGGACTCAGAGCGCGATACCAGGCCAAGAGACAACCTATTCTTGATGCGATGGAGGCGAAGAAGAAGAGACAACAGAACTTTTAGTGAAGTTAATCAAGCTTGGCGAAGGTTTCAACGCTTAATACACTCCACAGGGTATGAAATGTTGCCTCTGTTCGCATGACAGTGGTAAATGTTTCCTCTGTTCGCGTGAAAACGTTGATGATAAGTTAAAATACATTCCAGAATGCTTCGAGTTGATAGAAATCCTGTTCCTGTTACTCCCGCGAGAACTTAAGCTCAAATGGTGAGAATTAGGGCTATATTGAGGCTGTTTGCAAAATTTCTGTGCAAACGAAACCCCGCTAACATCAACTGAACACAATAACCCGCATGTATGCATTGCGGTCCTATGTAGAAATTCGCGAGGCAATTCGAGACAACTTTATTGCTAGTGTCTTTCCTTTTTCCGCCTCTTTCCTGATCAAGGCAGAGGGGAGGAGAGGGTGAGGAGGAAATTCTGGACATAGGGCAGGTTTGAAGACTGCACTGAATATCTTGATAGAGAGTTTTATTCACCACCATTTATTTTGCGGTACCCTAAGATACAACATTAAACAGGAACTTAACTTGATATTTAAGCAAATCTCCCAACTAGAAGTGTACAAAATGTATAGAGGCCAAAGAGGAGAATTCGCATGTTGAGCATGGAGGTTGAAAATGGCCAACAGACAGTTTTGCGAGATGCCATTTTGATATACATTTTGTAAAAGGAAATGTAATCAAATTGACTCAAGCTTACGGCGGTTGAATACAAATGTAGTTGTTTTGGTTGTGTTATTCCCACAGGACGGACTTTCTGACTGACTGACTGACTGATTGTCTGTCTGTCTGTGTCTGTCTGACTGACTGACTCACTGACTCACTGACTGACGGACTGACTGACTGACAGACGGACGGACTGACAGACAGAATGACGAACAGACTGAAAGAATGACTGATTGACAGACGGACGGACGTAAAGTGTGGCTGACTGACTTGCTAACTGACTGACGGACGGACGGACGGACTGACTGACTGACTGACTGACGGACTGACGAACTGATTGATTGATTGATTGATTGATTGATTGATTGATTGATTGATTGATTGAGTTTAACTTAAGCCAGTAAACTATCGATATAAACAAGAAAAACAAATTAATATTACAAGCAACACTGACTGCGTGAAGGCACGCATCCCCGTCTGATGGCCATTTTTATAGGAATAAGAACTTATTTATTAAGAGTCTATTATTTTGTAAGATGCATTCATTCACGTTGGAAAATGGCGTATAAGTTGATGAACTACTGTATCGAAGATTGCTTGTGATTTCAAGATGATATAGAGGCTGACAAATTCGTAGCGTAGTGAGTACGATGCGTGAGCTAACAAACAAATATACCAGAGGGTTAGTTTTTATAGAAATTGACTGAAAATTATCAGTGCCAATTATTTAAACGAAGCTTAAGATACTGCTTATAAAAGCTGAGCTCAATAGAACCGGGCATATCCCCCCGGGGGGAGGGGACATGGGTGCTCGCTGTACCGTTCAGGGGTCAGAAGGCGGTTTTGGTGCCTTTAACGGTGGTCGGCCTCAAAAGTTTCACAGCAGGAGTTTTTGCGGTAACTTTTAGGGTAATGAGCCGAAAAAATATGACACGAGATAATGTGTTGCTTTAGAATTTGGTACCCCATTGGGGTGAAAACAATTTCAAGCCACGCCCACAAAACAGGTTCTTGGTATCTCTTAGGGATACTTGACAAAAATTCCGACAAGCACCCCAATTCTTTTTATGTGGGAGTCCCCCCCCCCCCCCCCCC